CCCCACCCTTTTGATTGGGGAGGGGGGTTGGACCTGTAAATTGGTGTAGTAACTTTTACCTACTAGGGTAACATATTTCCAAAGTATAAAGGAAATCCAAGAACTTTTTTTTATTTTTGGGGCAGTTCAGGAATAATGCCTCATACACAAAACACATACATGTCATGTCACGCATGCGCAGTAGTATTCCAGGAATGTCACGCATGCGCAGTAGTGTTCTATCAATGTTACGCATGCGCAGTAGTGTTTTATCAATGTCACACATGCACAGTAGTGTTTTATCAATGTCACACATGCACAGTAGTATTCTATCAATGTCACACATGCAAAGTAGTATTCTATCAGTGTCACGCATGCGCAGTAGGGTTATATCAATGTCACGCATGCGCAGTAGTGTTATATCAATGTCACGTATGCGCAGTAGTTTTCTATCAATTTTATACATGCGCAGTAGTGTTCTATCAATGTTACGCATGCGCAGTAGTGTTCTATGAACATCAGGCATGCGCAGTAGTTTTCTATCAATGTCACGCATGCGCAGTAGTGTTCTATCAATGTTACGCATGCGCTGTAGTTTTCTATTAATGTCAGGAATGCGCAGTAGTGTTCTGCTCCTTAACCTATTACAGTCCCAATATTTCTTTCCATTCCTTTCTCTTGATTTTAAGTACACATAACCATCACAGATCAACTTATTACCAATAATTATTGCTGACGACTCCATATTTTTATACAATTGAAACACAGGAATTTAGAAAAAATCCAAAATTCAAAAGGTTACAAATAAAAATGACTGATTGAAAATGACGTTAATGTTACTGCTGCCATAGCAACAAATAAAGATTAACAACTGAAGTGATTCAGTAAGAACATTTTGAAAATTATGTTTGTCGGGAAGAAGGATTGTCGGGAAAATAGTTGTCGGGAAATAGGATTCGGGAAAATGGTTGTCGGGAAAAACATTTGTCGGGAAGAAGGTTTGTCGGGAAAAAGGCTTTCGGGAAATAGGATTCGGGAAAATGTACGGTAACGGCGGAGTAGTGTTCTATGAATATCAGGCATGCGCAGTAGTGTTCTATGAATATCAAGCATGCGCGCAAAACACCCACACATGTATACTCAACATATACACTAATCACATGTACATGTATACTCACACATGTACATAAATTATATACACATGTATACTGACTCATGTGCAGATATAAACTGCTACATATACACAAATCACATATATAGATTTAATAAACGATTGATAATATAAATTGTTGAATTTTTTAAGGTTCGTTGATGCACGTAGTGTCTGTTGAAATTTTTTTAAATATACGTAAGTACCTCACTCGCTAATGCTGCGCTGTCTGTGTTGTAAGGGAAATTATTTATTTACTTGTGTATTTACTTATTCCCAAGTGCGAAATTAAAAACGGCCCAAAACTGGCCCAGTGACGGCATAGTCAGTGCCTACTCTTGGCAGACAATAGTGGCCCGACTGTCGGGAGGTTAACCGCGGTAGGCCGTCGGCAGCCAATCATCGGCCGATTCTCGGTAAACATTAATGGCCCATTATTGGCTGCCATTACTCCCCAGTGTTGAAAAAATTAAAAAAAATATATTTTTTATTTAATTAACTAATTAATTCATAATATTTATACAGTTTATTTCCCTGAATTAATCGCAAACTTACAAATATTTGAAAAATTCTTAACGCTCGCGGGGATCGATACCTGAACCTGACGCACCACAGCCTAACACTCTGACCACTCTGCTACTCTGACGTGAAGTCGAGGAAGCAAAAGGGTTCTTATAAGCTACACTACACTGGCCGATACTGTGCCATTAATGGGCCGAGCTACGTCCCAATATTGGCAATTATAATTTACCATCATAGATACAAAATGATAGACATTAATATGGCATTCCTGAGCCAAGGTACGTCCCAATTCTGGCAATTATAATTTGCTACAAAATGTGTGGCCATAATGGCCATGAATGTGCCATTATTGAGCCAAGCTACGCCCCAATACTGGTAATCATAATTTGCCTTCAAAGATACAAAATTTTTGCCATTAAAGTGCCACTAATGTGCCTTTAATGGGCCGATCTTTGTCACATCATTGGCAATTGTCTTTTGCCATTAAAGATTGATCAACTTTGCCAATATTGAGCCAAGCTACGCCCCAATACTGGTAATCATAATTTGCCTTCAAAGATTTATCTACTTTGCCAATAATGTGCCGTTATTGGGCCAAGTTACGCCCCAATTCTGCCAATTATAAGTTGCCATCAAAGATACAAAATTTTTGCCATTAAAGTGCCATTAATGGGCCGATGGTCGGCCCATTAATTAATACACCATTAAGTTTTCTTAAAAAAGTACTCGTGGGGTTTGTCAGCCAACACTAAATTTTTCGTCTTTTTGTGTTGATTTTATTGGTTCTTCTAAATGTTTTCTCTTTTTTTCTACTCCAATACATTTTAAACCTAACATTGAATTTTATAAACCATTTTTTAAGAATAACAAATTTATATTTCCTTAAAATGTTAAATTTAATTAATTAATGTTATTATTATAATATTATTAAAACGTAAATTTTTGAAGTTTACTAACAAAATAAAAGTAAGTTAAGGACAACTACCTTGTTATGTTTCACTAACTGTAACTTTAAGTTATGTTTTTTTAAATATTAAAATAGTTGGCCGCCTCACCCCACGTTTTTTCAAATATGCCAAAATGTGGTCCTTTGGGAAAAGGGTTGTAGAAATTTTTAAGTGCAACCTACGTCAAAATGTTCTATGGCGATTTTTCAGCCAATAAGACAAGCTTTCTAACGCGATATTAAAATTGAAAAAACCTATTTAAATAACTGCCTCGCAAACCAAAATGTGCCATCTTGGCCGCCTCGCCCCGTTCTCCTCTATACCTAATAAAAACAGATTCCTGCATTTCTAGACAGTTCAAACGATATGAGCGTTTTAGAAATAGTTTGTGATCATACAAATAAGTATAAAAAATGTGCTTCTTTTAGGGAAATATTTTGCTTCAATCACAACAGCAACAAATAAATTCAAGATTAGACATTTACAACTCAAGATTCAGCTTACCAAGTTGTGAAATGTAAACAAACCAAACACAAAAATCACACTTTTGTAACAGCCATTTCTCCTACAAAAATGAATATTTTTCCACTTTCTCTACAAAAATGTAAAATTAGAGTATCAAAGTTTCCAATAAAATTGTTTTTGACTTTAAGCAATAAAAAGCAATTAGTAAAATAACTAATTAAAATGACCTATAAAATAGCATTTTTGACGCGTCGCGAAAAATTAACTGTTTTAGTATATCAACCGCACTGACGATGTAGAAGTCTCATGTCAGCGATTGGACCTTCAACATGTGTAAGGGGGAATTTTTCCCTTTCCTCCTTGAAATTACAAGGGAAAGGGTAAAAACTTCTTCATCGTCCGTGCGGTTCATATAGTCAAACACTTTAATTTTTCGCGACCTGAGACTCTGCTGCTCTCTGCGCATGCACAGAGCGTACTAAGAATTTTGTTTTGAATGAAACTTAGTTGTTTTCTCATTTTTTCTGCTATGCAAGGCGTAGTTACCAAATTCAATACGTCAGTTTACCATTTTCATAAAGAAAACTTTGACACTCTAATTTTCCATTTTCGTATAGAAAGTGTAAAAATGTTATTTTTTGTGGGAGAAATGGATGTTACAAAAGTGCGATTTTAGTGCTTGGTTTGTTTACATTTTACAACTTGGACATAGCCTCAACTAAAAGGATTAGAAATATATTTCTACAGCCCAAATAAATTTAGCAAAATACTAAGAATAGGTTCTACATTTATGTACATATACATATATCTATATGTGACGCGCTCCCAAGAAAGGGGATGGAATTTTTAAACCGAAAAAAAATTTACTTCCATCCATTTTTCGATTAATGCGAATAATAAATATGTCAATATCCAATAATGCTAAATAACAAAAAGAAACTATAAAACAAATACAATATGGCGGACACACTTTTTAAACATTCAACAGATTTCCTTTAAATTTATTATTTTAGGGTTATTTAAAACTTTATTATGAGTCAAAGAAGTAAAAATAAGAAAATAACTTTTAAAAAAATTTATAACTTTTTTGTTTTTTGTTGTACAAAAAAATGAATAAAGGAAAAGTTGTTTATTTTTGCACAAAATTTAAGGAAAAAAATTAATTTTTTTTGAAAATTGTCAAAAATACAAAATTTTGTATTGCTTCCTCATAGAGAAAGTATTGTAATTAAATTTGAGTAATACACGGTGAGCTGGAAGCCGGAAAGTTCCGACCAAAAATGTCGCGAAAATCGGCAAACGGGGATGTCTTAAGGTAGGTTTGGACATTACAAATCCGTTTGAATTGAAATCCTAGCTGATCGTTTAAGCGAGATATCGCGAAATCAGTCTCAAGTTTGCAAATTTAGATTTTAATTTTTTAGAAAATGCACTAACAGAAAAAAATGATATATATATATATATATATATATATATATATATATATATATATATATATATATATTCACTTAAACATATTTTTGTGTAAATAATGTTTTATACTTATGTACATTGATATATTACAAGTACATTTTTTAATTTAAATCTACTTCATAATAGTAATTTTTTGCAATGTGTGAATAAGAAAAAGTGATTATTATATGTTAATTTTTTATTAAAATTTTTGTTTACATGCAATGCAAATTTAGAAAAAATTATTATTAGAACGTAATATTCAAATTAGTGTAATCGAATTATCGCACAATCAATTTTCAATATACTAATGTTGACTTTTATTTTTCAAACAAATGCAACTTCAGTTTGTAATTTATCGTCCTGTTTTATGTGTCATAGATAATTTATAGATTGTTTGTTTTTATGTAAAAACAATGTCGTAGATTAAATAAAAATTTGAAAAGCAGGAAATATTGAATAATGTCACAGAAACACGAAGAAAATCGCCGGAAAGTTTGTGCTCCATGTGGAGAAAAAATAGTTGTCAAAGGAAGAAGGTTAGAATGGTTTTTTATAACAAAAAAATATGAAGATTTGATCAAGAATTTTTCAAGCGAAAAATTTGATATACAAAACTCCAAGTTTCCTTTAAGTATTTGCGGTTCTTGTCGTTTATCACTTGATGAGTACGAAAAGGGGGTGTTTAAAAGACCAACACCTGTAATGCCAAATTATTTGGATATAGAATTACCAAAAAATACTCGGCACAACGATAGTATTCAATGTTCTGACTACATTTGTACAAAAGCTACATATGAAGGTCATATTAACCCGAAAAAAGGTGCCGGTAACAAAAGGAAGTTTACAAACGATGTCTGCACATCAAAAGAAAACAATACTTCTTTGAACTCAAATTATCAGCAAGAGGCTCTGAATGTATTACGTAAGCATATTTTTTACTTAGTCCTACCCTAAAATTTTTAAGAAATACCTTACCTAAGTCTACCCTAACACAGAAAAAAGCTGGCTTCAAATTGAGTATAGATTCTATTCTCAATTTGATTCATATCAAAAATGAGACTGGGATGCGAATCAAATTGAGTATAGAATCTATACTCAATTTGAAACATTCATAATTAATTTGAAACCATGTTTTTTTTGTAAACCAGACAAAATTTTTTCAGAAGGAACAAAGTCTGTTGATTCCACGAGGTGCAATATTTGTTTACAAGAAATTGGTCGAGGTATAAAGCATCCCTGTCTTGCTAAGCGTAATGCTGTTTGTGAAAATGTGGTGAATATAGTCCATCAACTTCCTGAAAAACAACAAGAACAGATTCTATACAGTTTGTTACGAGATCTAACGAATAAAGCAGAAAATCCAAATAGAAAAAATAATGTTAATCTTCAGCTCACTAATGTATCAGGACCTGCAATGAAAATTGCACTCTATCCAACACACAAGAAAATTGAATTTTCAAATGAACAGTTTAGCAACTTTCAAGTAAATACAGGATCTTCAACCAATTTAATGAAAAAAATGGCTGATGTTGTTCGTCGCGTTGTTGGTAGACGTTCGGTATCCTCCAATTTAGCTGAACATTTATCGCTCAAGTCGACATTATTATCTGATTTATACCAACACGATGTTAGGGAATTTCACGTAGAAGGCGTAAAAAATACCAAGGAAAAAAGACCCGTTGTATTTGCTGATGCCGAAGCGATAGTTTCAAAAATTATTAAGCTCAGAAATTTAATCGGCGATTATCACATTAAAATTCTTGCAGATGGTGGGCAAGGTTTTTTTAAAATGTTTTTAACTCTAATTTCACAGAATTACAATTTGGAAAACGAAAATAATACTGCTAACGAAATAAACGAAAATGTTGATCCTGAATCACCTACAGAAAAACGATGTCGCTATTCTGGAGGCGCTGTGACCGGAAGAAAAGCAAAGTTGACGAGTGTGAATCGTCTAATAATTTTATGTTTAGTTCCGAAAATCAAGGAGACATACGAGAACCTAGAATTATTGTTTCAGCTGCCTAAACTGAATAACATTCCTTTCAAGTTTGTGGCTGATTTTAAGTTGATACTGATGGTGAACGGTCAGCAAACTGCGACTTCGATGTTTCCATGCCCATATTGTTGTATATCGTTGCGTTCTTTGAGAAGTTCAAACGACGAAAGAAACGAAAATTCAGTTTCAAACAAAAAAATTGATTTTTTACATTTAGAGTCTCGAGATCTGAAAACTTATTGGCAGTTAAAAAATGATTTCGAAGCATTTTGTAAAGCGGGAAAAGATAAGAAAGTTGCTCCACATTTTCATAGCACAATAAATGCACTATTGTTCGAAGAATCTGATGATCTTTGTGTGTTGGAGAAATGTATCGTCCCAGAACGATTCTTCAAGGATTTGTCTACCATTTATTTTGGGACGGAATAGTACCTCTTGTTGCCCGTGAAAAGGCTCTTTTATGGCCTAGGAAACTTGGAGTTATTTCAAAATCTTACCATGGTGAAGTGTTCGAAGGAAATGGTTGTAGAAAACTTCTGTCGGAACCAGATAAGTTGTTGGATCCAGAAATTTTTAAAAGTCATACTCAATATACCCTCGTACCTTTCGTATCTGCCTTAAAAGCATTTGATCAATTAGTGAAGAATTGTTTTTCTACGAGAACAGTCAACTACAGTGTATTGAGCAGCCAAATTAGAAACGTGAAAAAAGCTTATGAAGCCACTGAGATGACCGAAACATTGAAAATACACGTACTTTTGGATCATCTTGAACAATGTTTAAAGTTTTTAGGAAGACCTCATGGTTTAGGAATTTGGTCTGAGCAAGCGGGCGAAAGTGTTCACCATTCCTTTTTGAAAACTTGGAATAAGTATAAAGTAAATTCAATGGTGGATGTTGAGGGATCATTTGAAACATATTCAAAAAGACTGTTGAGGGCAGTAGTAGAGTTTTCTTCTCAACATGTTTGAATATTTCGGGTACGAAAATAAAAGTTCATTTAAAAACATTTTTCTTATTAAAAGAAGTTATTAAAATTAAAAATTATTATTTCTATTTTTGAATAAACAAAATAACAACAAAATCTTGTAAGATAAGTTACTTTTGAATAAATAATGCATTTTGAAGTTCGAATTTAATATAAAATAATTTATATTTATACCTATACCTATATATACATACCATTTTTTCTGTTAGTGCATTTTCTAAAAAATTAAAATCTAAATTTGCACATTTGAGACTGATTTCACGATATCTCGCTTAAACGATCAGCTAGGATTTCAACTCAAACGGATTTGTAATGTTCAAACCTACCTTATGACATCCCCGTTTGCCGATTTTCGCGACATTTTTGGTCGGAACTTTCCGGCTTCCAGCTCACCGTGAATACTAAAATTTTTCGAGTTCAATTTTTTGACATATCTTTATGTCATTTGACCTCAGGAGTTCAAAAATAGCATTCCATATGTGTGTGTGTGTGTGTATGTAAACATTGCTCTCTAAATCGGAATAAGTGAAATTTTCACTTTCTTCATGTGTGATCCTTTTTCTCACTTATTAATAAGTAGAATCTACTTATATATTTAAGTAAAATATTCACTTTTTTATGTGTGAACTTGTTTTCACTTATCAATCAGTGAAATCCGCACTTATATATAAGTGAAATATTTAGTTAAAAAGAAATCCACCTGCGCATTATATTACAATTGTTTATACATTTAAATGTTTAGAAACAATGTTTTTATCATTTCAATTAATATATTAGAAATTTTTTATTTTATTTCATTATAAAAATTGTCATTTCAAATTAAATGAAATTTTAAAAAAATATTCAGTTAAATATTATATTAACAATAATCTAATAACTAACTTTTTATTTACTTAGTATTTACATACATATATAATAAGAGAAATCTTGAACAAAACGTTAAAGTAGAACACAATAAACTAACTCTTTATAAGTAGCACCCAATAATTTTCTACGAGTATAAGACAACATATTAAGTGGCATTGCAGTGTTTCTCGTTGATCATCAAAGTTAAGCGACATTGCGACATTGGATGGGTGACCGTTTGGGAATTTAGCTTAAAAAATGTGAAAAATTTATATGTTTATAAGTTTAAAACTTATAATGAGAAGAGCAGAGGGTGTTGAATAGTTGATAGTAAATAAATATTTTTTTTATATAATAGGTATTGATCCTGATTATTTATTTACATTCACTTCTTAATGTCTGAGTATTCACTTATCTCATAATTGAATATTCACTTATTTCATGTGTGAATATTCACTTATTCTACGTGGAAGAGTTTTGAAACATGGAATAAGTGAATATTCACTTAAAATATCTAAGTGAAATTTCACTTATTCAGATTTAGAGAGTAAAAACTGACAACTCATATTATTTCGTCAAAGTAAAATCCTGAGATTAAAATGATCCACATACAATATTTATTTAGACAAGTGGCGCCATGTACTTTGTCATATAGCCCTGCTTGGTCCACTTTCCGATAAGTACACTTGAATCCAACGATGCCTTCTCTCCGGGAAGGCACTAATTTGACGAAGTTTGCCTACCTTCTATATTGTCTAAAAAATCAGCCAATAGAAAAGCAGAATTCCGTTGAAATTATGGACATGAACTATAAAGAATATAGAAAGTGGTCAAAACTCGTCAAATTAGTGCCTTCCCGAAGAGAAGGCATCCTTGGATTCAAGTGTACGTGATATATTTATCACACGTTCTTTATTATGGCTACTTGACAGTTAAAGTTATCTGAAAGTTGGATCAATAACATTTTTTTTATTTAATACAAGCAGAAAAAATTATTTGAAGGTTTTTCCTGTCATGAATTGGGTGTGTTAAATTATTTAGGATTGTAAAAAGGAAGAAAAAACCTTTAATTACCGACTAGTTTTCTATTCTCTCACGTAAGTAGGTATTATTCTTGTCTTGTTATCTTTTTTAAAAATTTTGAAAAAAGAAAGCATATAAGTTTTTGGTAATGAAAGAAGTGATCGAATGAAAAAAGTTTTTGCATATTAAAGAACAGTTTGTCTGTTGAAATATATGTACATTTAGGTCTCAAAACTGCAGCATTGCCTGAAATTATCCCTTCTCTTGGACTCGACACTGTAACTCACCCCACTACTTACCTTTTCAGGGACGTCCAAGCACATATTTTGTTTGTGACCCGTGGTAAAAGTAAGTACAAGTATGGCTGCTTAACCTTCAGGGTACTGACTGGGCTAGCGTAACCCAGGCGAATTTTGAAAGTTGTGTCATTTCTAAACAAGTCGATAGAGGGGGAAAGAACTTCTTTGAGGTACCAACCAAACATATCATCTTCGTTAGAGCCAATCGATGCTTGAGTTTCCAATTTGTGATCAAAATTAGCGTTCGGGTAAATTACACCCAGACGCGACGAAACGTCATTATATAATTATTGTTTTGGAAATATCGGAAGTTTCCAAATCAAGGAAGCGCGCTTTGACTCTCGCTATAGTCAGGTGTTTTCTCACTATCTTTCGAGATATGTCAAGCGGGAGGTTTTGACGTCGAGGTATAATGATGTGTACTGTCGATTATTGTTCGGTACACACTATTAGAACTTGGCTGTTCATTAAAGGGTTGTACCTATAAGGAGAATTGTAATGAAAATTTTTTGAACACCGTTTGTATTTTTAACAATAACTTTCGGGTAAGAATTCCTGAAGTGGCCCCCAATTTTCTTTAGGGTAAGGAACGTAAATGATACCTAGTGTTTTTCATAGTCCATGACGGCACTAAGAAACCCCTAAAACGATTTTTCAAAATTTTAATTTTTTTAAAAGTTATAAACAATTAAAGTTTTTTGCACTTTTTTTTAAAAATTGAATATCTTGAAAAGTTCTGGACCGATTTCAATAAAATTTATATTTTCAGAAAGCTTAGGAAACGTACTTTCCATAAATATATGAAATATAAATAAAAAGTGTAATTTGTTTAAACAAATTATATTTTTTATTGTTAATTTTATAAATAAACAATGTTCTCGGTCGATTTTACCAATTTTTTTTTATAGAATCATGAAGAGGGACTTTTCATGATTGTATAGCAAAAATAAAAAATTAGGATTCTCTAAAAGTTTAGAAGATTCAGTATTTTTAGTCCCGCCGCGCGCGAGCCGTCCGAGTTGATCACGCTCTCAGCGCAGCGCGTCTCTCGCGCCTACAGACTACCCCAACCCAAGAAAAATTTCTAACTACAATAGTTAATTAAAAAATTAGTTACTTATTTTATAATACGTATATTATTATAATTTTTATAATAATAATAATAATAATAATAATAATAATAATAATAATAATAATTTATATTAAATTTATAATATATAACATTATAAATAATTTAATTTAATAATAATAATAATAATAATAATAATAATAATAATAATAATAATAATAATAATAATAATAATAATAATAATAATAATAATAAATATTATTATTATTATTATTATTATTATTATTATTATTTATTAATTAATAATTCTGCATTACAAAATAAAAAAGTCTATAACCCTAAAGCAAATGTTAGTTATAGACTTTTTTATTTGTAAAGTTGAATTGTAAGTCTATCTATTGTATTCATAAATAGTATTAGTTTATGTTTTTAAGGGCATGTGGAATCAGCAGTTTTCCTGTGGTCCGTTTACCGGTATGCAGTTTAAACTTGGACGGTTTTTAAATTTATTTTAATGATTTTATTTTTTAAATCTGCTTGTATACAGTTTTCCCTTGTGCACTTGAACGTGTGCAGTTCTCCTGTATACATTTGAATTTTGGGCAATCGATACCGCCCCAATAAATTTATATTTTGCTATTTAAACATTCATTTTTTTCAATGACAATTTTTATTCGATTGTCTTTTCTTTTCGAAAACTATCAAAAAAATGAAACTTTGAATAAAAAAATATAAATTTATTCATTTTTTTAAATGTTAATTTGTGTTCTTTTTTTTTCTCGAAAAATATCAAACTTTTTATTCAATGAAAAATAATACCTATTTAAAAACAAATTTTTGTATTAATTGGACTAGAGATCCAAGTCTCAATAAATAAAATATTATTTTTCTTATATTTTGTCAAGATTTATTTAATATTTTTTAAGAAAACCGGTGGGAATATTATTACATGTATTAATTGAAGTTGGCTGATTTCACATGCCCTTAAAAACATAAACTAATACTATTTATGAATACAATAGATAGACTTACAATTCAACTTTACAAATAAAAAAGTCTATAACTAACATTTGCTTTAGGGTTATAGACTTTTTTATTTTGTAATGCAGGATTATTAATTAATTAATAATAATAATAATAATAATTATTATTATTATTATTATTATTATTATTATTATTATTATTACACTGAGAGAACATTATACTTAATTCAAATAGAAAAATAATTTTAAATGATTTTGTTTAATTGAAATTAGTTTGTAAGGTTAATCCCAATATATAAAAAATATCTACTGCTTTGATTCAAAAATATTATTTGTTTGAATAATTATGTTTAATTCAAACATATTTTCTGTTTTGATTTAAACAAAAATTATGTTTAAAAATTTTGTGTTTGATTCAAACTTAAAATTTTATTATAAATAATTTAAAATCAACCTTAACTTATGTTTGAATTGAATATATTGTTTCTTTAAATGAACCAAAAAATATGTTTGAATTAAACTTAAATATGTTTGACTGTATAGCAAAGATATTTTAAGTTTGATTTAAACAAAATTTGTTTGAACCAAATAATTCGTTTTCTGAGTGTATTATTATTATTATAAAAATTATAATAATATACGTATTATAAAATAAGTAACTAATTTTTTAATTAACTATTGTAGTTAGAAATTTTTCTTGGGTTGGGGTAGTCTGTAGGCGCGAGAGACGCGCTGCGCTGAGAGCGTGATCAACTCGGACGGCTCGCGCGCGGCGGGACTAAAAATACTGAATCTTCTAAACTTTTAGAGAATCCTAATTTTTTATTTTTGCTATACAATCATGAAAAGTCCCTCTTCATGATTCTATAAAAAAAAATTGGTAAAATCGACCGAGAACATTGTTTATTTATAAAATTAACAATAAAAAATATAATTTGTTTAAACAAATTACACTTTTTATTTATATTTCATATATTTATGGAAAGTACGTTTCCTAAGCTTTCTGAAAATATAAATTTTATTGAAATCGGTCCAGAACTTTTCAAGATATTCAATTTTTAAAAAAAAGTGCAAAAAACTTTAATTGTTTATAACTTTTAAAAAAATTAAAATTTTGAAAAATCGTTTTAGGGGTTTCTTAGTGCCGTCATGGACTATGAAAAACACTAGGTATCATTTACGTTCCTTACCCTAAAGAAAATTGGGGGCCACTTCAGGAATTCTTACCCTTTCGTAAATTAAAAATATCATAAATCTAACAAAGTCATCACGCACATTTCTAAAAAAATTTCGAATAGATTTAAAAAAATGTTAAAATTCATCAATTACAGCCCACAATACAGGCGATCAAAGTTGCTGGGTTACGCCAACCGCAATGTCAGTACGGACCATTACACTTTTATAGTCAGTACCCTGAGGGTTAAGAGTACGTCACTGATAGTTAATGACGTCCCGTGACATCACGCTACAGTATGCACTCCTGTGGGCATAACTAGTTGATACAATTCTATGATTGTCTCAGTTTCAAATGTTACAGTTTGGAAACCTGACTGTAATAAAAAATATTGGTTCAGATTAAACTTCAAATTTTGATCTTTGAGAATTATTTTGAAATTTTGTTAAATCGACTTTATTGTAGAGGTGGAGTCTACTGGAATTTTGCATATATATTTTAAGAAATTATAGTTCACCAATTTCACTCACACACAATTCTTTTTATATATGTCTTGCAACCGCACGGTTGCAGTGAGATTTTTTATATATCAAAAGATCTAACACACAGACCGAATATTTATCGGTTTTTGTTCCCGTGGTACCCAACAACTCAATCGAAACTTTCTTCTTTCACGTATGTTCATTTTTTCTTTTCAAACTATTCGAAATTTTCCTATTTACTTTATTGCCAATACTTGGGTAAAAAACTATTTATTGAAAACCATTTTCTTGTTGTTTCTATCAAACCATTTTCTATAAGAAATTTGAATAACAGAAAATTACCAATTTTGTTAAGTGTTGTAATGTAACACCAATAAAATGCTTTCGGGAAATATAAGAATTTGTTTTTACATCCGAAAAGCTTATGATTTTTCAAAGAAATAAAATGGATAAAGAAAAATAAATTTTGCTAAACGAATTATAACAAGAGATAATTTGTGAAAACGGGGTGCAATTTTGCTTTACGTGATTTAAACACATTTAGAACGATCAGTTTTCTTCGATTCAGTTCTAAACGCTTCGTTGGATAACGCTATAAGCCATAAGTCAATAAGAATCGCTTACGTGGTCGCTGAAGCTTTGTAAAAAGAAGAAAACAGAAAAGATCAAACGATCTGCGTTAAAGAATAGTGGTTACAATCTACTTCTGAGTTACAAAGTCACAGTGTTCTTTTGAGAGAAAAAAGATGAAAGACATATCAAAATCTCAAGAAGATGAAAATATAACAAGATCTCTCTTTGAATTTTTTACTTGCGTAAATATATTTGTTCTCAAGAATTGTAAATATGTACATTTTGTTTCTCTATATAGTACATGGTTAAAATAAAACCATTTTTTTACCTAAAGTAATAAATTAATATACAATATGTATTGCAAAAAATATCTTATATTTATATGTCTCTTTTTTCCAAAGTTAGTAAAGAAAGTTATTTATTTACAGTAATCGTTTATTAACTTCACATAAGGTGGTCAGAATTTATTTAACAGCAGAGACGCAAAAATATTGTGTTAAAAAGAATTTTTTTCAATTTATCTGACCCAAATATCTTATTCATATAGTAAGTGAACCAGGCTTTTATAATTTTTTTAGGTTAAATCTTATCTCTCAATAGCAAATCGCTTCTTTCATCCTTTTTCTCATTCCATAACTCTATTCTTCAAGCGGCGACGGATAACTTTTACAAGCTTAGGAAAAAGAATACTCTTAGTTTTTGCACTGCAGGGATCCTTTTATCCTTTCCATGATAAGTGATTTATGGCTCAACGCTAAGGATTGTAAAATTGGGATTTTTTTCATCTCTCGAGAGTTATTAAAAACTTTCTTTATATTTTATTTTCTGATTAAATAAATAAGCGACAGTTTGTTTACTATCATATCTGTTTTTATGATAGAATGTCAATTATAATTATTAAATTATAATTCGTTTCTTTACTAGTAATAATGAAATGAGAATTATCAAACGAATTCTAGAATTAATTTATGAAAAAAATATTTTTTTTTCTGTTACAGACAGCAATAAAGACAGCGGAAGCACAACAATGTAGACATGCCACGAAGCCTAATAATAGAGAAAAGAATCAAAACCAAAAGTGTATTCCATGTAAGTAGCATTATTTCCATTATTTTCTATTAACAAAAGAATAAATTTTAAAAAAACTGTAATTGTAATTACTATTATTTGCTTAAAATCAAAATATACAGTTTTCTAACACCACGTTCTCTACTTGGTTCCAACTATTGTGGAACAAAAGATACGACACTACATAATTAGGAAAACCCAATTATACTTTAAGTCATCCTTTTGTAGTTAGCTCGTTGTGGAACTTTATATGTATTCATGCTCGAACAAAGCGTCAAGGTGTATGACAAACTTGAACCGCTATTATAATAGAAATACTGGACGTTTTTTTAAAAGAAAATTTATAAATAATTTCAAAAAATACTGACATTATCTTGCTAATCGCTATCTAGGTTAACAAATGGGATATTAATTCTTTGTTATTTTTAATACCACATTACAGTGTTATTCCACTTAAGAGCAATCGAAATAATTTTGTCTGACTAAACAGGGACTTTTAGTACTACAAAAGTGTTTACACTCTTTATAACGTATTGTCAATAATATATATTATAAATGTGCTAGCAATTTTCTACTCTTTTTGTTCTAAAATTATGCTCTAACAATGTTATGTCACATTTCCAGAACAGCACTGAAAAAAGAAGTATCTTAATTTAAGATGTTTTGTTAATAATTTCTAAGTTGTTTTGGTAGACACTTTTTAGTTACTTAAATTATTTATCTTAATTAAAGCTGTTAAAAGTATTTTCGTACACATTTTTGTGTACGAAAACTTTTTTTTGGGGAAAAAAGTTTTGAGGTTAACTAAGAGCTCATATGGAAAACACTTAGTTTTTAGTAACTCACACTTTTGGCGCATCTCTTACTTTTCTAAGATGGAAGAAATATCTTCATCACTGCTAAAACGTATAAAGCATCTTAGATATCAGTAAGATGCTTTAGAAAACATCTTATTTTAAGATGTAAGATACCGTTTTTCCATCTTACATCTTATTTTAACATATCAAAAAATAAGACACCTACTTTTGCTGTACTACAAAAAAGCACTATACAAAAACTTAATTCTTAAAATTTTTAAAATGTCGGATGTTTAAAATAGATCATAATAATGCATTTTGCTTCCTCGTGGAGGAAGCTAAAGCTTTAATTTATAAAATTTTTAAAAATCCTTAAAAAAATTTTCTTCTATATTCCTATGTTATATAAGACCGTGAACAATTATTGTCCGGATGTATGTATTTGTGCTGTGTATGAGTGTGTGTGTGTGGATCACGTTTTTTGTGAACTCGATAACTCGAAGAGGTTTCAACAAATTTGGCTAAAAATTGCTAGGTATATTTATCATAAAAATATCTCGAAATAGATTAATAAACTTTGAAAAATCCTCAAAAAAAATTTTTTTTTTACTTCTAATGTTGTTGCCGTAAGAAATTACTAATATTATTATTTTTGGTGAGTTGGTTACTCAACTGAGAGCCAACTCTACTTTATTTATTTAACAAGTAAAAGTACAAAACTTGGAGATAATCAATCCTTCCAATTCTTCACTGAGCCTTATTGGAAGACAAACGTGCTATCACTTTGAGTAGCGACTAATTAATCTGACCACACCTGCTTATGCTTTAGTTTTAAAGGACTGTGAACTCGTCCCCACTCTTTACAATACACACTCATACTTTATACTGTCGACACCTCCCCCCTTTAAATTATCGATGATTTTTAAATTAATACATTTATTTAAAAATTCGATGCAGGTTTCCTTCTAGGAGGTTTCGAATGTAATTCAAAATTTTAATCCTTACAGATTTTTCTCAATAGTTTCATTCTAAGTTGGACCTGTATTATTAAAGTTACAATTTCTGTTACAATTCTGAATACAATATCTTATGAAATTTAAGGTACACTGTATAATTTCTTTTTTTTAAAGATTATAAGTACAATACTTGCATATTTTATATACTCTAAATTCGTCAAAAACTATTCTCTCGAACTCTCAAATCTTTCATGTTTTTCTAAGTCTTCTAGCATCATTTCACTTCTTACTAATTTCTGCTTCTTTCATTCTGGCTAAATTGAAAAACCTTAGTAATTTTGGTAATTTATCATTAGTAAATTTTAAATCGTCTTTTTTGAAATCTAATTCTATTCTGATTGTTTCCTTAAAGTATCTATTTATATTTCACAATTTCTTATCATTATAATTATTCTTTTCGCATTCTATAGCTAGAACTATTTCTTTTACAAATATACGTATATAACCTATGGCTGTTTTTCACAAATGTTTCATCGCTGAGTAATAATGGAGATTTTAGACAATTTTCGTTAAACATTTTTATTAAATCCGCGTCACAATTTTCTGTTTGATATATTAAATAGCTCGATTCGTTTCTCTTACAACTTTATATTCTTCTATAGTGCTACATTTTTCTAAGTCTGTCTTGTCAATCGGTACGTATTCAGTTTTCGTTTGTAAAATGTATGGTTTGCTTTGTCATCGTTCGTTTCTTCTCAAATTGTCTTTAGTAAGTAAGTAAGTACTCAAATACTTAATCGCATTGTCATTGTCCATATCGTCATACTTTGTTTCTCTTCTTACATTAATATTATACCATCTGATCCTTTTGGTACGTTCGTTTCTTCATAATATCTTTGCTCTTCTTTATCTTCTTTAAATCGTGTAGACATATAATTCGCATCTTCCGTTAAAGTCTTCAACATTTACTGTAATGCTGGTCCATTTCGTCATATTTATTTCTTTTGTTTATTAATATCTTATTCGTCGTAATATTCTTCATATCGTGTTGATCTATTTTGTTATATTTGTTTTCTTGATTCATTTATATTTCATCATATAGTCCTACTGGAATGTCCTATTCGTCATAATATTCTTGATACCTTTTTCATTCATTTCGTTATATTTGTTTCCTTTATTGATTCATATTTTATTTTTCAGTCCTGCTTGAATATCCTAGTCGTCATAATATTATTATCTCATTGGTTCATTTCGTCATAATTGTTTTATATTTTATCATTCAATCCTACTTGAATATCCTAGTCGTCATAATGTTATTATCTTATTGATTCACTTTGTCATAATGGTTTCCTTTATTGATTCATAGTTTATCATTCAGTCCTACTTAAATATCCGAGTCGTCATATTATTATCTTATTGGTTCATTTCGTCATAATTATCCGATTCGTCATAATGTTATTTATACTTTGTTTTCTTCTATGTTTCTATATTTGTAATCAATATTTCTTTTATCCTTGTACGTTCAAATTTTCGTCGTAAAATTAACTATCCTTTTCTTTGTACTATTTTACATCTCTTTAATCGTATTTCATTTGCGTTATCATTATCTATTTAAGGTATTTCGTTTAATTGTGCTATTTCTGATTTCTTCCTTTTTTTAATCGTTGACATAAATCACATGTTTTGATAAAATCTTTAACATCTTTTGTAATGTTGGGCCAGTTTGTCATATTTTTTATCTTCTGTACTGTAATATCCTTAGAATAGTGTCCTCCTAATATTCCTTTATGTGCTTCTGCTATAATTTTTCTTCTATTTCTTTCAATGTGTTTCTTTATCAAATATATTTCCTTATCATCACCTTTCCATATTTTAAAAAGAATTCTTGATATTTTGCTTTTATCTATATCTTCGTAAATAATTCTTATTCTTTCTTCTCTAGTTTCTTTTTCTAAAAATTCTGTTAATTGCTCATTTGTCACCTGAGGACTAATTTTTATTTTGTTATCTTCTTCTGTTTCTTCGTTCGTTATCCAAATTTCTTTTATCCTTGTCGGTCCAAATTCTCGTCTTATGATTAACTGTCCGGTTTCTTCTATTTTGTTTCTTTTCAATCGCATTTTATTCGCGTCATCATTTTCTTTTTGAGGTATATTTCTTATCCATTGTACTTCTTTAGTATCTGTAGTCAATTTCATAGTCTTTATTACTTTGAATTCATCTTTAATTATTGATTGATCGCTTTCTTCTGTCTGTGAATCTATTTCCATATTTTCATTTTTATTTTCGTCATCAATTATTGAATTGTCGTCTTCTGTTTGCGTATCTATTTCCATGTTCTTATTTTCCTCGTTTACACCTGTAGTAGGCCAGTTCTGCTGTTCTAACGTGTCATTTGTACCATCTGTTGTCATCTGAACCCTTGGAATTCGCGATAAGGCGTCAGCGTTTGTGTTAGCAATTCCTTTCTTATAAATAATTTCATAATCATATTTTGTAATTGCTGAATATCTTCCTTTAAAATTAGTAAAACAGATTTTATCTCTCTTGTTTGCACTAGATTGCGGATAAAGTATTTTAGGTCCTAATTTTAAAAAACCTTTTTCTAAATCCATTTTAAATTTTTGATCGTAAAGTAAATTCATTCCAATTAAACCGTTTTCTCTAAATGCAATTTCATCTTTTGTAACTTGAAAAACTGATTCTTTGCCGAAAAGTTTTAAACAAATAGAATATTCGAACATTATGGGATTGTTTTCGATTGTTAAAACATTATGAGGTGCGTATTTCTTAAAGTTTTTCCCTTCTAACATACTTTCTTTTATAATTGATATATTTGATCCTGTATCAACTACAAATTTTCCTGATGCTAACTTATCAAATTTTAAAGCCACAATAGGTGTGTCGTGTCTTCTTCGTTCTCTTGGTATCGGTGGAAAGTCGTGCTTAGCGGGTTCTCCGATAAAGAAAATTCTTCGCTTAGCTGCACTCGGTCTGGTGGTTTGGTGTTGATTGGTCGTGACTGAAAATTTTGAGTTTTTTCTTGACGTGGTGGTAAACCTTTTAATTTTCCTCTACAAACATCCTCTGTATGTCCTAAATTTTTACAATGGTTGCATTTTTCTGAATTTCTTGGTTTGCTAAATCTTGGTGTTGGTACTGGGTTTTCATTTCTTGGGTTTCTGGTAAAATTGTCAATTCTTCTTTTATCTTTCAAATTCACGTTAATTTCTGAGGCAATATTAAAACATTCATTCAGCGTTTTCGG